AATTGACCAATAACATAGATGGATGGCAGGTGGTAGCAGCCAGATTTCTCACTGTTGAAGGGGAAGGTTACAGATAAGTAAGAGGAGAAAGATACAATGAGCTATGTGAATGGGTTAGAATAAGAGTCATTAAGATGAGCTCATGCTCTGCTTAATATAGATATTTATGGTAGGTACAGAAACCATTAGTTTTGTGTATACAAGAGCTAGTATACGTATGCATATTTTCTAGCTCAGCCCACTGAGAGTGGCTCCCCAACAGCAATAAACACTGTGGGCACCTAGATTTTGGTTTCTAACACCATTCTCCAATAAAAGTAACCAGGCTCCTTGGAGAAATGGCTGTTTTTTGGGATGGAACAGAAAGTAGACAAGATGGGTCTGGAGCATCTTACAGTGCCAGAAAGTAAGGAAGTGTGCAAAAGCAAAACAACAGAGATGTGTCAAAGGGACACAGGATCCAACAGATAGGGCCCTCAATGGCCAAAACTAGGACAACTTGAACAACAAAATAAATAATATAGTTTTGGTTTATGACACAAAGTATATAATAAATATTCATGAGAACACCTTGATATAATAAATGATTGAATAAATAAATAATAAAAAGAACACCAAACAATTTGTGAAGCTGTTTTTCCCTCAAGGAGGTAGAACATAACTCCATTCCTGAAATGGGGACCATACCAGGTGACTTCCTCCTGTTGGAGTGGCCTGGAGGGCAGTGGCCACTAAGTAACCAGGGAGGACACAGAGGTAGATTGTCCCAGTGTGGGGAGGTGGTTGAAGGGGGGTATGACAGCCAAACTAGGCCCCTCTCTGGCACACAGGAAAGAGGAGAGTCAGATGGTTCTTGTCTATCTCACCAGTATAGAGTACACTGTGCAAAAGAACAAAAGAAATAAGATTGTCGTGGGGAAACCTGGCAGATGCTGCCTTAGCCAGGTGATCAAGATTAACATTATTAATGATAAATGATGCTGATAGCATGTTTCTGTGATAATATGGAGAAGGACATTATCTGTGGTCTTCCTCCTCAAAATCCATAACCCCAGTCTAATCATGAGAAAAACATCTGACAATCCCAAACTGAGCAACATCCTATAGAACACTCAACCAGTACTCCTCAAAACTGTCAAGGCAATCAAAACACACAGAAAGGCTGAGAAATTGTCACAGCCAAGAGGAGCCTAAGGAGATATGATGATTAAATGTAATGTGGTGTTCTGGATCTCAGTAAAGAAAGAAAACACTAAGGAAAGGAGAAACTATTACAGACTGAATAAAGTATGGGATTTTCCTAACACTCAGGGAATCAATATAGACTCTTTAGTTGTAACAAATGCACCACAGTAATATGTTAATAATGGGAAACTGGGTGAGGAATGTACAAAATTACTTTAAGATTTTTTGCAGCTTTTCTGTAGATCTAAAATTATTCTAAGGGCCTGGCATGGTGGCACACGCCTGTAATCCCAGCAATCAGTAGGCTGAGGTAAGAGGGTCATTGCAAGTTTGAGACCAGCCTAGGCTACAAAGTGAGCTCAAGACCAGCCTGAACTGCATAGCAAGACCCTGTTTCAAAAAAAATTATTCAAAGGCAAAATTTGCATTTAAATATATTCTCATTGGTCATAATAGTTCACATCCCCTGGATCATATACCCTTGAGAGTATGGTTCTGTTGCTCTATCCTGGGGAAACTAGTTTCTATGTCCCCATCTCTTGAATCTGAGCCAGGCTTAAGACTTCCTTGGGCTAACAGAATGCAATGGAAGCAAACTTGTATGAGTCCTAGAGCCTCCAGGACCTTAGCATGTTACTGGATTATAAGACACACACGGTTCAGGCACCCCTTGTGCCCAAACCAATAGCCAGTCACCTGGCAGCCATGCGGTTAAGCCCATCCTAGATCAGACAGCTTCCCACTACACCTCCTCTGCGATCGCAGATGCAGGGAGCCAAGGCAAAATTAGTCAAGCATGGTTCAGAGCAGCAGGGCCACCCAGCCGACCCACATGAACAATAACAAAAGCTTTTTGTTTAAAGCTACCGAGTTTTTGGAATGATTTGTCATATAGCGGCAGCTAAGTGAATCTCTTGTACCTGGGCATAACAGTGAATGTACAAGGTTATTTGCTACACCATTGTTTGTGATTACAAAAGATTAAGAGCAACTTCGTGGCTCATCAATAGAAGACTGATGAAATAATTTTAGGAGACCCATAGAATGGAATATTATGTAGCTATTCAAAAGAATGAGGCAGCTCTCTGTGAATCAATATAGAAAACATTCAATGATTCATTTTTAAATGAAGCAGCAAGATGCAGAAGAGTGTATGGAGTAGGCTACCAGCATTCTAAAACATCTGTGTTCGGGAGGACTTGCTCCCTTACTCTGGGAGGACCCTCAGATTGTGACCATGGCCCCCTAGGAAGGAGAGAGAGCAGGGTGGCTGACCAACAGGGGTGGCAGCAGACTTCCCTTCCACTCTACCTTCTTTATATTTTGATCATGTAGAGGTGTTATCTATTCAAAAACAAATAAAAGCAGAATGTGGAACCTCCTGTGCCTTTCAAATTCAGAGTCCGTTATACTGTTTCCTAGATTTCCAAGCTCCACCGGGAAGCCAAATAACAGTCTGGGAAGGGAAAACTGGGAAGGGAGAACTGGTAAGTTCCTCTCTCCCAGCCGGCCTGCCTCCCGCACCTAAAAGCTGGTTTCTCTTCCCCTGGTTGGTAAGCTTCAGCAGGCCACAGCACCTCGCTTGCCACTGGAGGGCAGCGCTACGCTTCCTTCCCGGGAGGAGCCGCACACAGATCAGGCTGGGCCTGAACAACAGGCCCAGAAAGGGAGCCTGGTTAGAAGAGAGAGGGTGTAAGGGTGGGAACGGGGTCACAGATACGGTCAAAATACATTAAACACATTGAACACCCTCCCCACAGTCATGTGAAACTAGGGGTAGGGTGAATGGAGGGCAGTGATGGGGGCTAAAATACGTTATGGGCATGTACAGATCTGCCAAGATGAAACCCACTAATCTATAAAACCTGTATGCACTAATAAAAAAGAAAAAGAGAAACAGGTCTCGATTTAGGGGTTAAACCCATCCCAGAACCTCACTGAAGCTCTCCCTCCAGCGCTCTCCCAGTGGTGGGCAGAGGAATGGACCCCGAGGGTGCCTTTGCATTCTTTTAGCTGATAGAGCGGGCAGATGACCTCAGTTCCTCACCCCTCACCTCTACTCTCCTCCATAAAACCACGTGGAGAACTTGTCCTGCTGTTGCTGAAAACTAACAGTCTCTCATTAGGACACCCGTAGGTGTGACCTTGCCTCCTTCCTACCTGAGCTTTTCAACAGGTCTGTAAACTGGGAATGATTAAAACGATGAATGAAGCACTTCTTTGTGCCATTGTGCTCAGCATCTTACAGACTGTCATGCCCCATTTTACAGAAGCAGCTGAGGCCTCTGAGAGCGAGAGTAACATGCTTATTTTGCACAGCTGAACTTGAATCCAGAGTTCCCTGCTTGACCACTGAACTCCTGTCTTCAAGCGCTGCCAAGAGGATTTTCTAGAAGAGCCTCAGCAAAGGCTTTGGAAAAGGGCCACAGCACCAATAATCTGGCTTCACTCTTGAGATAGGTATGTGTCGTTCTTGTGGCCCATTGGAAAGGCCAGAAGAGGACAGGAAGGTCGAGTGTCACAGGTCTATCCCGGTGGAGCAGGCTCAGTACTAGAGCCACTGGAAGGGCTCCTTCCGCTGCGCTCCTCTCCGTGTCCCGCGCTCCCCTCGCGCCTCCCTGAACTGTCCAGATGTGTCTGCAAAAGCTCAATTCCCGTCCCAGACCGCTGTTTCCCCAGCCGAGAAAGGTGGAGGCGTGGGTCAGGGCCACTCGGACTGCCCTTTCCCTCGCTGCGGATGGTTTTCTGCATCCATCCGTCCCAATCAGGGAGGGGCTGCCAGATGTGGCTAGCTGGAGCGCAGGACGCATCCTTTGCGGAGTCCTTTCTACAAACGGAGCTCCTGTTTTCATGCAAATGCCTTTGTTCGTGCACTGGGGGCTGGAGGACGGAGCCGCAGCTGACGCGGGCTGTGCAACGCTTTTCCGCCTTCTTTTCCAGCCGGCCTGAAAGAAATGCGCTGGGAACAAAAAACGGCGCAGGCAAGCGCGGGAGCGGCACCCACTGCAGCTCCGCTCGCCTTTCTGGTAGCTGCGCCCAGAGGAAACGCAGCGCGCGCAACGGCCGCTGCAGACCCGCACTCGCAAAACCGAGGCCTAGGGCCCATCTACCCCTGACTCGGTTTCCCCATCTGCACTGGGAGATGTGCTATATACGAGCTCAGCCCAGTGCCGGCTCCTTGCTGTAAAGCCTTTATGAGGGAGTGTGGGAGTCCCCCACCCCGGTCGGTGCGGGGCGGTGGAGCAAGATCGCCTTTCAGAGCGAAAAGGAGAAATAAACCGAAAAGGAGAAATAAACAAGTGCAGACAGAAGAGATAAGATTTCACACCGCAACAAGTGTTCGCTGAGGCGAGCAGATGCAACACTTGGGCCTTCCTCTGTTCTCCATGGGATGCACAGATGAGCTCCTGTATTGCCCCCAAACAAATGGATGAGATAGATTGAGTCTTGCCTTCTTTTGTAAATAGGAATTAGACATTCAAAGGAAATAGAAAGTTCAAGGATACACTCGTGGGAAAATCGGCCAATACATACAGGTGTCAGTAGGAGGTGGATTTGGACCCAAACACTCCAGCCCAGAGTGGAGGCCTTTGCTTACTCCACTATCCCATTTTAGGATATGCTAGGAGAGACAAAAAAGGGTGATATGTCACCTAGCTCACAAGAGAACCAGGGGCCATCCAGCTGAGACTGGTCCCTCAGAAGTGACAAGATCTAGCCCAAGCTCTGGGCAGAAGGGGCAGCTAGAGCAAAGGCCTTGAAGTCGAGGAATGAACTCAGGATTTCTTAAACACAGGAAGGTCAGGGGGACTTGCCTGCCTTGGAGCAAGGTCGAGCTGCAAGAAAGACTGGAGATGGTCAGAAGCTGGAAGGGTCAGGCTTTGCAGCTCCCTGAATGGAGCTGGAATTTCATTCCAGGAAGAGGACAGTTACAGCCGTGAATGAGTGGAGCCAGGTGGTAGGGGCCCTTCCTGCTCAGGCAGCAGGAAGGAAGGTTTGATCCTTCTTGGAGGAAGAGATTGATCACACAGGCTTTAAGCCTCCCCTCTCATCTGGCCTCCTGGCTTCTAGGAGATTGGTGTTGACATTCACTAAGTCCCTTGTGTTGTCTCCAACACAAACATGGAAATGTCAGATCGGCTGAGTTGTCATCTTACAGGTGGGGCTGAGACATGGACCCAGGGGGCAAGGATGAGAGCCCACCTTCAGAAGGGGGGAAACTGCCCTGGTCCCCACACTTTAAAAGACCCCTGTAGCTACCCTACTGCTGTGTACTTTCCCTAGTGCAAAAGAACACACCCACCCAAGCCTATGCCCCCTGTTAAAACACAGCAGGTTCCTGAGATCCCTGAGTTCCCGGCCCAAAGGTCCTGTTCCTGCCGCCAGGCCAATGGGGCAGAATGCTGGGCCGAGTGCAGCAAGGGCCTTATGGCATGTGGGACATGGGTAAGCTGGGATGTGCAGCCTGGGTACCCACACACATGCCTGGGGGTGTGCACAGTGCCCACGGAACTGGAGGTAGCGAGAGGAAAGGAAGCTGGTCACTGGCTGGGAGATTAGGGACAGATGTCCCCACCACCACAGTTAAGTGCAGCCCTCCCACAAGTCTGCAGCATCTAAACTGAACCTGGCCTTTCAGATCCTTATGGAGTTAGGCTTCTCCAGCAGAAAGACGGAATATTTTTTAAACAAGATATTAGGTTGATTTATAACTTTTAAACACTTTGGTTTAGAAGTGAGTGGGCACCTCTCCCAATAGCAGAGGTGGGTCTGCCCTAGCACATAGAAGATATTCAATACTTATCAAATAGATGGATTAATCTCATTTAATTTAATCTTTATACTGGCTCTATGGGGAAAATCATAATGCCTGTGTTTTATTGATGAGGAAACTAAGACCTGGAGAGAGTTAGTGAGTGGCTCAATTCATCAAGTTGGAAAGTGGCCTGAGCCTCCAGCCCTGATGTATCTAATTTCCAAATCCACTGCAGTTGGCCTGTGACAAATTCACACCCATTATGAGCACACTAAATATATAATAAATGTTTGAGCATGTTGTTAACTGGTCTTATGGGACAGAAGCACTGTTTATATCAATGAAAAGACCTTTTCTTCTTGATTCTCACTCCACCTTCTTAGGGATAATAACCCTTGAGAGATAATAAGGAGGAGCTAAATGTTCCACTTATCAATGACTGGAAAACTGAGGTCTCTAACAATAGCCCAAGGTGCCATCCAGGCTTAAGCAAACAGGGTTTATTTTTCACCTATAACAAGAACTTGGAGATAGCCAGGCCAGGGCTGGATCAATGGCTGCAAAAACATCCTTAGCATAGCGCTTTGGCCTCTTGGACTGAGCTAGTTGTGTATGGCTACACCACAAACTTCCCCCAAACAGTGACCATCTTTTTCTACAGCTTTGTGGGTCAAATATTCAGGAAGGACTCAGTGATCCACGCAATCAGAGTGACTGGAGTTATTCGGTGGTATGTGACCGATGCTTAAGCCAGTCTGGGGGGTCAGGATGGTTTTACTTGGATACCTGGTGCTGTAGTGAGGATAACAGGGATGCTGAATCCAGCAGGGTCCCTCTTCTTCTCCTGGTAAACTCAAGGCTCTCTAGGTGGTAACTCAAGGCTCTCCAGGTGGTCACTCGGGCAGGGAGTTAACCTTTCTTATGGCAGTGTAAAGCTCTAAGAAGCCATGGCAGGAGCTGCCCATCCCTTTAAGAGCTAGACCCAGAAGTGACTTAGCATCATTTCTACCATATTCCGTTAGTTAAAGAAGCCACAGACCAGCCCAGATTTACATACAGGATCAAAAGAGGAAAGTGAAAGAATTGGTAGTCATCTTTAGTTTGCCATGTGGTCCAATATAGCTACTTGAGATGTAGCCAGAACATCTCATTCCAGCTGTGGTAGCAGGAAGGAAAGATAGAACATGGTGTTTACCCTCCCTTTTACGACATTTTCTAGAAGACACACACATTTCCCCACCAGAACTCACATGGTCATACCTAGGGTGTGGAAGGGAAGCTGAACACTAATGTTTATTCCAGGATCCCATGTGTTTTGCCTAAAATTAGGGATTGTGTGACTAAGAAAGAAGTGAATATTGAGTAAAAACTAGAAATCTGTTTCACCAGTGAGTTTTTGCTACCAACAGCCTAGCAGGCAAGCCTATCTTGTCCCTCCTACTACATTCTCCACAGTGTCATCAGAATTAGCTTTTCATCATCACTGTTTCAGGTTCCTGCAAGATAAATCCTCTAATCATTTCCATGCCAACAGCAAGGATCTGAAGTTTTTCTTGAGAGAGCCACTAGATTTTAATGCCTGAAATAATAGCAATACCATCTCCCACCCCCGAGGCAGTGTGCGCTGTGCACTGGAAGGACAAATCTCAATCCGTCTTCACAGTAACCCATGAAGGAAGAGGAAGGTGAGGATAAAGAAGGCCGGAGAGGTTAAGAGACTTGCTCCAGGCCACACAGTGAAGAGATGCAAGGCAGAAGTTCCAGTTCTCAAAGATCAAATCCTAGAGATGGGCTGAGAGGTCCACACATATAAAACCCAGGGTTTGTTGACAATAACACCTCTGGAGAAAGGGCAAGTGTCGTTGGTGTGTGACACTGGAGGACACGCCCACATGCAAAGAGCCTGTAGCTTCCCCTCGTGCCCTGCAGGCCTTGGGTCAGGACAGGTGCAACCAGCCAGTTCAGTGAGGCTCTTGCTACCTCCAGCTCTGAGACTGTTTTGAGTTCAGTTTCTTCTTGCCTTTGCCTCACCCTGTTCAAGAACCTACAGTGGCTCCCAGATTCCTCAAAGTCAATTCTGCCCATCTCCAGGTGTCCCCGTGAGGAAGAGGAGAAGGGGCAGGCAAAACTAGGTTCAAATCCTGATTCTGTCTGCTGGTGAATCTGTTTCTGCATCTGTCAAATGGGAGGGAGAAATCCCTGCTTTGCCAACTCCTCCAAGTTTTGAGGACCAGTAGGACCAGGGAGTGATATGGTCTGCACCTCAGCAGCACATGTCGGGGAATTAGGCATTCTCTCCTTGGAGGGCAGAGAGATTGGGGAGTGGGGGAAGCTCAGGAACCATGAGGCACCTTGTGAAGCTACTGTTCACAAGATCACTGAGGGAGGAGCCTGGGTAGTCAGAGCAACACTGACTAAGACCACCACTTCTGGAGTCAGACAGACCTGTTTTGAATCCTATCCTACCCCTCACTAGCTGCAGGATCTTTGGATAAGCTGAGTAATTTCTCTGTACCTCCGCCTTCTCTCATTAGGACTTTGTTAGAAATCAAATAAAAATGTACCATTAAACACCTAATATTTCCTGTAATCCTAGCACTCAGGAGGCTGAGGCAGGAGGATCACCATTAGTTCAAGCCCAGCCTGTACTATATAGAGAGACCCTGTCTCATAAAAAAACAAAAAAAGTACCTAATTTTTTTTTTTTTACTTTTTGGCAGAACTGGGGACTGAACCAAGGGCCTTTACAGTGAACTAATCCCCAGTCTTCTTTTTTTTTTTTTTTTTTTAATTTCTTGAGACAGTGGCTCAAGAATTGCCCAAGCTGGCCTTGAATTTCCTCCTGATTCAACCTTTCAGAGTGCTGGGATTATAGGCATGTACTATGACTAGCTTAAAGCATCTAATTTAATGCAGATACAATGTTCAACCAGTAGTCATAATAACAGTGACTGGCATTTTTTGAGCCCTGATTAAATTCTGTGCTATAAACATTTCATTGATTAGCTTGTATACTCTATGCCACAGCCTGAAAATGTAGACTGCATTATCATAGCATTATTATTTTCCACCTGTTAGTGTCAACATGGGGCTACAGTTAGGTCTAACACCCAAGGTCACACAGCTAGGAAGGCTGGACTTGAATATGAAGCCAGGCTGTCTGATCCAGAGTTCATCTTCATCAATATCATGATGAAGGTATCATGATACGCTGATATCATGACTACTGTCTTTGCTGCTGACCTTGAGATATGTCCCCAGTATCTCCACAGCTGCCATAGTACCTGATGTGAAAAAGAGTCACCTGATCCAGAAGTTACCAGTTGTGTGGCCAGTTGCCAGAGGCCTTGGGCAGAAACCCACCCAGTAGGCCAGTTTAAGACAATTTACTACACCAGTCAGCAGCAATGGACACAAGGAGTTGGGACAGTGCACAAAAGCTAAAACTTTAAAGGTCAAATAGCTCAATGATGAGGGAAAGGGGCAGGAGGAACACGTAAGCCAAGGATCCCAGAGAGAGAAGAAGCACGAGGAAAAGGTGGAGGCAAGAACTACACCGCTTCTGAAAGGACCGTGTTTTAACTCAGCCCCGGCTCCAGGGCTCCAGTGACCTTGCAGGGGCTCAATCGGGAGTGTAATGCTGGCTCAGCCTCCTCTCTGCCCTTAGGGTAACTGAGGAATTGGAGGTGATCAGCGGAAAGGGCTGTAGCACCTGGCCCAGTCCTATGACACTAGAATGCCCGCTCAGTTCTTGGTGCACTTTTATCCATCTGCAGTGGCATCTTTGTGATCTCCCCATAATTGAGGTGACTCAGGCCTGGCCTCTCCCCTGCACTCTCAGCTAGCTGACACTGACAGCTCCATTTGTGTGTCACGGCACATCACATCTGATCCATCCAGGACCCGCTCCTGACCACACCTCCAATCCCACCGTTCCTGCAGGATTTCCTTTTCAGGCAATGTCAACTCCAGGATTCCACGACTTAAATCAAGTCCCTGGGCATCCTTGTCCTGGCTGTTCTCCCTCTGTCCTATTCCAGTGCTCCTCCAGCAGCAGCTCCACTGGATCTACCTGCCCAGTGTATTCATAAACTCATGACCACGACCACTGGTGTGGGTCATTCTCTGTCACCTGAGATGCCACACCAGGACCTCCTGCACCCAGACAGCCTGTGAGAACGAAGTCACATCTCTCCATCTCTGTGCTCAAAACCCACCAATTGCTTCTTTCTTGTAACCAAGAAGGATACATAACAAAATGGAATCTAATAGTTAGATTGTTTTT